ATGAGGGTTTATGAAAGCAATAGCCCTGCAGTCCCCCAGCCCAATGCAGAAGGAATGAGAGGAGGTGCTCCAAGTGCTGGAGCAGGGATTCTTTTGCAGCCTGTGGGGTCCAGGGGTAGCATGGACCCACCTACAGCCCAAAAAAGATCTATACAGGAGCAGAGACCCACCTGCAGCCACCAGATGTCCATTGGAGAGCAGAGACCCACCTGCAGCAGATGGAGGAACCCATGTGAGAGCAGAGGAAGAAACTGAGGACCCTCCTCCTGAGAAAGAAGTAGTGGCAGAGATATGCTGTGATGACTTGATCCCATTCCCTGTCCCACTGCACTGCTGAGGGGGAGGAGGGAGAGAGCTGGGGACTGAAACTAAACTGGGGAAGAAAGGAGGGGTGGTGAGAAGATGGTTTTATGATTTGGTTTTATTTCTCATTACCCTTCTTTGACTTGATTGGTACTAAATTAAACTAATTTCTCAAAATTGAGTCTGCCCATGACAGTAACTGGTGAATGAGCTCTCCCTGTCCTTATCCCAATCCATGAGTGTTTCATTATACTTTCTCCTCCCTGCTCAGTTGAGGAGGAGAGCGATGGGGCAGCTTTGATGGGCACCTGCTATCCATCCAGGGCCATCCCAGTGAGTTTTCCAGCCCCTCCCAGGTGAGTTTTGTCCCTCCCTATAGTCCAAGTTCCCAGATAGACACTGAACCCAGAAGAGATACCAGTACTACCAGGCAGAAGATGAGGCATCAGAGCCAGAGCAGGTTTCTGGCAGGCTGTACGTGCATTACAGAGGGCCATGACACCCCCTCTTTGTGTGGCAGCTGGTCATTACAGAGCAGCGTCTGCCTTGGGGTGCAGAGTTTGCCCAGTGCTCCCATTCTGTTGATGAAGAGGGTTAAGCATTCCTGCCTTGCATTCAGTGCTTTGTGCTTTTATCTGAGCAGAAACAAATAAACTTCTTTCCCACCCCTTCTTTCCCAAGACTGGGCTTTGATAGAGCTGCTCATCAACTTTCATCAGTTGTGAGTTCATTGAGCATGACAGTGCTGAATACTTTTGCTGTTGATAGACCTGTCAGATGACTTTGCAGCTTTACCAGGCTCTTGGCTTTGGTGGCTTCATGTGGTGCAAGTGATCAGGGAAAGGGCCGAGTGGTAACACTATATGAGTATATTGACACACAGGAAACCCAGATGTCAAATACCATATGCTGTCTAGCTGTCCCATATTAAAAGGGTAAAAAAGAAATGATCAACTGTGAAAGATGAGCAGGGCCTGTGTGTTGCAGATGGTGCAGTACAGACAGATAGCAAACTGTTATTACTTGTATCTTACAATAAAAGCTAGAAAGCGCCAGAAGTAATTGGGCATCTGGTCTAAATGCAAGAAAATAAATTACTTTTCACAATGCACATAATTACACGGCAAAACTCTTGACTTCACAATACCCTGTGATAATAGAAAGTATAAATGTCTGTTCTTGGGCAGTACTGAATTCCCCAAATCCAATTATGCAGCAGATGGTAAAAAGATCCCATCACAAAATAAATAAATACAGAAGGAAGATCAGGAGTTATTAATGATTAGTGTGTATTAACGATTAGCAGATTGACTTTCCACATTTAATAAAGTCATGAAGTGTTGATAAAGTGCTGATATCCACAGACTGGTGACAGGTCTGAGCCTGTTCCTCGGCTGAGGACAACAGGGGACTTCCCTGTAGCAGCTTTATAGAAAATACCTGTGGTTTGCTGTACCTTTGCCTCCATTATTATTATTATTATCACAGGGAGTCAGTGTGTTAATTCCCACTTCCATGGAAGACAAATGGAGGATACAGCAGCCAGGACAAAGACATGACAAAGTGGATGAATGAACCTTCACAACAGCTGTGAACATTTCCTTCAGTGGACATGGAGACAGCTAATGTGAAGCAGCAGCCAGGAAGCCCTGGAGAGAGGACATGGTGAGCAGGCACAGGGCTGGATGGGAGACAGGGTCTGGGGGTGCAGGGGCAGGTCTGGCATTCACACCCTGCCCAGCCCTCCTCTAGGCCAGCCAGCAATTGTTTGAAGGGCAATCCTCACCAGGAAAAGGCCATCTGAGTCACAGCTGCAGTGGCCAGCTGCTTCTATATGCACAGCTAGGTCACAGCTGGCCATGGGAGGCTCTGGAGCAGTAAAAAGGAGCAGCCAGAATATGGGGGAAATAATTGCATGAGTGTTATGGCCCAGGAGGGGAACAGTCACAGAGGTTCAGGACCCCCAAGTCAGGACCCAGCTATTGCAGGTCATGTCATGCTCTCATAAATCAGTGAATGCTCACCTCACACTAGTTAGCAGCTAACTAAAGCTCAGATTAGGGACACAAAACCCATGCATCATTTGTGGGTTTCATTTAATGAATAACATTTATACACTACGAAGTATGGGGCAGATTCTGCACAGGCATATCAGCAATCCAAACCTTTCCCAGTGGCAGAGGTCAATTCCTGATGTGCTGGGAGTCCTTGCTAGTATTTTCCTCTGATAGGCAGAGGAAGATGACAGCAGGGTGATGTGATGCAGGCACAGGAGGCTCCTGCATCATGGGCAGGACATTCTCTTGCTGCCAACATCTCTCATATTTGCTAGGGGCAGGCTGGGACTTTGGAGCTTGCAGGCCAGGCTGTAGAGGTCAGGCTGGGATCTTGAGGCTGCTGCTGGATTTCCCCACTGAATTCTAAGCACAAGGCACTGCAAGGCATATAATATAATTTAGATGCATTAGTTCCTGATTTGTGATTGCAAATTGAATTTTGCCTGGCCGAAATCCCAAATGCTCAAATGATAATTAAATGTGTGTGGAAAGTTTGCACTCTCAGTATTTATTTTTTATAGACTGAACCCACAAATGCAAATGCCATCACCTGCTCCCAAAGTACACCATGCATCCCGTGCACAGTCACTGAATTTCCAGGATTGTCCTAAGTGGCACAGCATGTCCTTTCCCATATCCAACACTGATCTGGAAGGTGTGTGAAGCCTGGGAATGCCAGCCAGCCAACAGTGATGCCTAGGGTGATCAGACACAAAATTCCCCAATCACATCATAATTCGCACCCTGCACAAGCAATTGGGCTGCACTCTGGAGCACAGGGCAAGAACATAGAGCCTGAACCACTTTTAAGTAGTCTGGGGGAAGGATGCAGAATAAACTGTCCCACAGTGCTAAGGGCCACCTGTTTCTGCTATCAAGACAAAAAAAATGGCATTACTCACTGATACCTAACAGTGACAGCACTGAGATTTTCAAATAACGTTTGAGCACTCCTGTGCAGGCCAGAGCAGTGCTGGGCAAGCCAGGGATCCTTGCCTAGTGCCAAAGACAGGTTGTGGAGCAGTCAACATCAACACCTACACTAGCTCTGCAATGACCAAGTGGTTCTCACAGCAACCAAGTGAGAATGGACCTTGCAGAGAAGATATAACTGGCAAACTGTTCCTGTAAAACCACTTGCAGTCACAGTTTTACAGTTGCCAGCTCTACCCTTGGCTTTCCTGAAGTTCCCTCCCCATAATGCAGATAGAGGGAGAAGGAGCTTCAAAACAGGACTCTGCTGGGAAAGCAGTATCAGGCTCACCCTCCCCCTCACTACTGTGAACTGCAGCAGCAATGAAGCTCAGCACAGGAAAGAGGCAGCTCTGATCTGCCAAGAGCATCTGAAAAGCAGCGTTGAACAACTCAGATGAGACCATTTCCATCACCTCACCTGCCATGCAGCTGCATAGTGAACATAAATTCTGACAAGTTTCAGTTTCCACTTAGCTGGAACTTGCCTTTTGCACACAGTCACTGCAGGTTAAATCCTTCGCATGGCAACGTGACTACCCTGGTCTTCCACAGCTCTCCCCAAAGCACAGACCAGTTCTCCTATAACCAGGAAAGGCCTTTTGAAGGGACCAAGTGAAGACTTTTAGGGGCTCTAAGGCACTGAACTGTGGATGTCTGTGCCCACATATGCACACATGTACGTAGGCTGACCTCATCCAAGGGCATGGTCTAAGCTGCCATTTGGTCCAGCTATGGTCCAGGACAACATAGTCTGCAGCCAAGGACATCAGCTGGACAGAGAGGAGCCTCTGGACAGAGAGGAGCCACAGCCAAGATGAGCCACCTTAGCAGCCTCTTTGGAACCATAGATGCCATCTTGGCTCGACGACTCCTTTCAGTGCTCACAGAAAGCAGAAGGTTACTGCTGTAATGTAATGGAGGATGATTTGGATTCATTTTCTTATTTCTCTACTGCTTCATTAGGCACACCCCCAGGGCTGCCTTTCCTGGGGATGGGGCAGACCCAATGCCTATGTCTTCAGGCACACGTGGAGGAGCACCCTGGAGCGTCAGAGCACCCCCAGGTGCAGAGGAGCTGTGGGACTGTACTGGGGGCACCAGCCCGCATGTCGGCACCTGTCGGTGAACAGTCGTGACATCAGCGCTGCTCGCTGCCGTGTGCGTGACCGGGGCCCACGGGCCAGAACACGCGTGGAGCCTCCCGTGCTGAGGAGAGGGGGCGCTGGGGGTTACTGGGGTACAGCATGGACATAGCTGGCACTGGGAGCTGCTGGGGGTGCAGCATGGGAAGAGTGCACGGTCAGGGTATCCTGCCAGGGAGCGCAGCCTGCAACGGGGCCTTGGGGCTTACTGGAGAACGACACCGGGAGAGGCGCTGGTGTTTCCAGGGGTCCGGTAAGGGTAGGGGTGGTACCGGTGGTTTCGGGATAAGGCTCGGAGGGCTGGGGGCGGTGCCGGCCGCTCCGGGGCACGGCTGAGAGGCGGTGCCGGAGCCGCTGCGGTGCCGGAGCCGCTGCGGTGCCGCTCGGGGGCGGGCCGGGCCCGGCGGCCGTTCCGCCCCCCCGCGCTGTGGCCGGGGCTCGGCCCCGCTCCGTCCCGCGGTGCAGGGAGCCGGGCCGGTGCCAGGGCCGCCGCCCGGCCGGGCCGCAGCCCCCACCGCCATGGCCCGAGTCTCGGCGATGATCAGCCCGGTCCTGGTGCTCTTCGGCTGCGACCTGTGTTTCGTGCGAGCCAGTAAGTGCGGGAGGGCACCGGAGCTGCGCGTTCCCGCCGGGCAGGGAGACCCTGCCGGGCGCCCGTCCCTGCTGTGGGCTGCGGTCCTGGCCAGATGCCCCCTCCGGCCTCACTGCATCCCTGGCGTGGCCTTCGCCGCGATCTCCGAGGACTCCTCGGGCACCCCTGGAGCGCCGCGGCCTCCGAGTCCGCTGTGCCTTTGACCGTGTCGCGTCCCTTCCCCGGGACAAGGCTGCTGCCGCGCTGCCCTTCCCGGGGCTCCC